ATCTGCCGCGCTTTCGAACTCAGCGGTGGCAAGCCTTCGTCGCAGGTCCTCTGTCTCCTTGACAGCTTCTGCCTTCAGCTTGCTTTGCTTCGCGAGCATGACCAACGCGTGGTTCCGAGACTTCGAACTTGATTCTAGCTGCATTGTTTTTCGTGTATTCGAGAGGCAGGGAGAGGAGAGTATGAAGGCACTTAACCAACGGTGTTGTGATCTGGGTTTGTCTCAGCAGGGGTTGAAAGAGATAGGCGACCAACACCCACGAGGATGTTACGATGTCACAGAACGCCAACACGAGAACATCTCAGAGAGCACCTAATGCTTAACGCAAGTAGAACAACACCTGTCGTTTTCCTGCGAACGTCGATAACGCTAACGCAAAAAACCTATGACCCACCTCTTTGGTAAGCCTGAGGACTTCTCCCTCCATCTTTTTGTTCGATTCCGACAGTTGTCGCTCCGCCTGTTCGCGGTCAGCGAGCTTGTCGGCGATGTGCACGTGCAGAGCGTTGTATCTGTCATCGGCGCCTCGTGCCTCTTCCTGCGCCATCTTTTGCTGCCACTGTTGCCTGCCGCTACAGAACGGCGATTCTCTCGTTGAAGTCCGTCACACGCGCCTCCGCAGCCGCAGATCGGTCGTCCGCAGTGGCGGCATGGTCAGCCATCTTTTCGAGGTCCTCGCCGAGCACCTTAATTCGTTCTTGCACGTCAGGGCGTGCTCGCTAGCTGCTCCTGCCGCCGTTGTTTGTTGCTTGTGCATATCGGCGAGCCTCTCGTTGAGGTCTGTCACGCGTGCCTCCGCAGCCGTACACCGGGCGTGCGCAGCAACAGGGCGGTCAGCCATCCCTGCAAGGTCTTCGCCGAGTATCCCCACTCGTTCCTGGAGCATCGAGGCGTGCTTACTTGCGTCTCCCTCCGCGATTGTTGCCTGCCGCTGCAGAACGGCGATTCCTTCATTGAGGTCCGTCACTAGAGCCTCTGCAGCCGTAAATAAGGCATGCGCAGCGGCAGCGCCGTGAGCCATCCCTGAAAGGTCCTGGCCGAGTACCCCCATTCCCTCCTGAAGTATCGCGGCGTGAGCAGCAAATCACCACGCCGCGATTGTCTGCCGCATCAGAACGGCGATTCTCTGGTCGAGGTCCGTCACGCGCGCTGCCGCTGCGGACGACCGGTCTACGGCTGCGGAGGCTCGAGTGACGGACCTCAACGAGAGCATCGCCGTTCTGATGCGGTAGGCAACAGTTGCAGCGGGAAACGCAAGTGAGCACCGGGCGATGCTCCCGGACGGATTTGAGGCACCCGGCGAGCACCTCGCAGGGACGACCGACCACGCTGCTGCTGCGGACGCCCAGTCTAGGCTGCGGCAGCGCGGTCGGTGATATCTGCAGGGTCCTCATCGAGTAACCCCACTCGTTCCTGGAGCATCGAGGCGTGCCCACTTGCGTCTCCTGCCGCGATTGTTGCCTGCCGCTGCAGAACGGCGATGGTCTCGTTGAGGTCCGTCACTCATTCCTCCGCAGCCGCAGACCTGTCGTCCGCAGCGGCAGCGCGGTCGGTAATCCCTTCAAGGTCCTCGCCGAGTAACCTCACTCGTTTCTGGAGCATCGAGGCGTGCTCAATTGCGTCTCCTTCCGCGTTTGTTGCCTGCAGCCGCAGAACGGCGATTCCCTCGTTGAGGTCCGTCACACGCGCCTTCGCACCCGGTCGTCCGCACCGGCAGCGCGTGTGACGGACTTCAACCAGAGGATCGCCGTTCTGCAGCTGCTGGCAACAGTGGCAGCAGGAGACGCAAGTGAGCACGCCGCGATGCTCCAGCAACGAATTGAGGCACGCGGGAAACACCTTGCAGAGATGGCTGACCGTGCTGCCGCTGCGCACGTCCGGTCTTCGGCTGCGAAGGCGCGTGTGACCGACCTCAACCAGAGAATCGCCGTTCTGCAGCGGCAGGCAACAGTGGCAGCAGGAGAAGCATGCGAGCACGCCTCAATGCTTCTGGACCGAATTAAGTTCCTCGGCCTGGACCTTGAGAGGATGCCTGACCGTGCTTCCGCTGCGGAAGCTCGATCTACGGCTGCGGAGGAACGTGTGGCGGACCTCAACGAGAGGTTCCTCACTCCTCAGTGGAGGGCGACAGCAGTGACGGCGGCAGGAGAAGCAAGCGAGCACGCCACGATGCTTCAGGAAGGGGCCGAGGCACTCAGCCAAGACCTTAGGGGGTTGACTGACGCCACTGTCGCCGAATCGAGAGCCGCGTCGCTTGCTACAAGCGCAGGCTTCTCCGCGGCGGGAGCAGAGACAACGAACGAGGGCAACAATGACGACGACCTCATCAACAGGGCCCTCGAGAGGGTGGCGAGCGTAGATCTCGCTATCGCGAGGTACACGGAGGCGAGCGCAGAACTCCGGAGCGCCGCTGACCGGGCTCCCGAGGTAATAACGCACGAGACACCCCGTTCTCGAGCCCGATCGCAAGGGATCGAGGTCGCGGCGGTCGGGCGAGTAGCGGGAGCGGAAGTGAGGACAGTAGAGCTAGGACTCGGCAACGCCCGCCTCCGTGCGCTCGCCGTGGCGGGCAACGAGGAGAGCAAGGAAGAGGTGGTGGACGAGGAGGTCCGAGCTCGGCGATTCCGCCTGTCTGCCGAGAACTCGCACTTCGAGCGCGAGGTCGCCTACGAAAACGCTTCGCCGCACGAGCGGGCCCGCCGGGAGGCCGACGCGCGGCTTGAGGGTACCGTCGGGGGCGAGGCGGAGAGGGAGAGCGCCAACGGCTGCCACTGGCGGGCCGCGATGGCAGACCTGCGCGAGATCGACGTGAGGATGGAGAGGCTGCAGCCCATCATCGAGGCGGGGGGAGAGTGGCTGCGGCTGCAACGCTTGAAAGACGAGGAGGGAAGGCGCTACGAGTCGGCGGCGAGCAGCAGCGCGTCGGAGGCGCTGGCGCGAAGAGTGTCCAGGTTGGAAGAGTGGAGGGACGGCCTAGAGGAGTGGAGGAAGGCCGCCAACGAGCAGCGTCGCGCGGAAACCGACGCGCTGCTACGGTTCTCGGACGAGGCGAGGACGACCGCAGGGGTCTTCGCCGGCCAGCGGAGGCCCGGGGCCTTGGCCGAGGAGAGGGCCTCCCGGACGAGACGGCAGGGCGGTGCGTCGAGCAACCGAGTCCAGGTCTAGAGGTGAGGACCAATAATTGGTTCTTGTGGAAGGTGCATTCATTCTCTCCTGTGAATTGTTTTTTGTCCAAACCTTCCTGGCCTAGGGGGCTTCAATAGATATCGATTGTACGCTGTCTCAACTGAAAAGTCCCGGCGGGGTGATTGGTTGCCGCGGGGCGCCGGATTTTATTCTGTTTCTCGGAGGCGGAAAGCTGACGCCCGCCCTTACCTCGGAAACACTTGCTCAACGAAGCTGGCAAGGGCCCTCTGTTGTCACGCGTGCAGCCTCACAGAATACAGATATTGAACGGCATGCATCTCAACCCACCCGTCGACGACTTTCCCGACTGGGATTTCCAACGCACTTCGTCAAAGATTTTCTCTGGGTTGTTGACGATCCCCCCGTCCACCGACATGGATATCGCGGCAGTTGCTATTCCCAAACGTCTGCCTGGACTGGAACTCAACCCAAGGCGACAGCCATTTTCTGTGTGTCGGTCTTGATTGCTCGTTCACAGCTGCTCTTACTGTGGGATTCATGCCCTATCTACATCTCCAGACATTGAGGTAGTTTCACACGAGCGGGAGGAACCATAGTTAGGATCAATGCGGGAGGAAGGTGTACGTTTCCTGAGCACACGAGACCTACATTGTCGGGATTCTCTGCACGCTTCACCGTGAACACAATTTATCTTTCCTTCTCGAGGAAAGAAGTAATTGTCGATTCTAGTCAGAGAACGACGTGCATACCACATGCAAGCACAATAACAATCCGATGCACCACATTTTGTCAGGCTACGCTCAGCGCCGCCATCCGACAGCAATACACCCACTTACACTCCCAAACCCTCCCTGACATGCTTCGTGACCGACTTCGAACCAAACACAACCGCAGGGGTGGAGGTAACAGCGACGCCTGCTGCTACCCTCTCCGACGGGGGGGCCAACACAAGGAGATGAGCCGATCTTGCTCCCAATTGGTGGCAACGACAACGGTGGATTGCTTCACCCCTTTCCATTCTCGGCACCCAGACGGGGGCATCAAGAATTCGCTTCTTGTCTCCATCAACGACCGGCAGAAACAGACCTGTGTGTCGAGAGTAGGAATAACTACGGCGTCTTTTTGTCTCTCCCTGTTCTGTCCACTTCTTCTTCGTGAAGCGGGCTGAACCAAATAGCAGTAGGTCACGGGTTGTGAGGGCGTATCGATGCCTGAGTGAGAGTACTGTTTTTATACGGAGGAAGATGGATGTTTCCCCCTTGCCCCAGGAGTATACGTGCTACAGTACGGTGGAAGTGGGGGGCGTGTGTGTACAACCACGGTATGTTTCTCCACTTCTTCGTGAGCCGGGTCGAACCAAATTGAACCAGGTCACGGGATGTTAGGGCGTACCGATGCCCGAGTGGGAGTACAGTAATGTTTACGGAGGGAGATAGATGTTTACCACTTGTGGCAGGAGGATGTGTGTGCTACAGTGGAGTCGACGGCGGGAGGGGCGGGCGCGGGCGCGTGTTTGCAACTTCGTTCATGTTTTACCCCCACTTCGTCGTGAGGCGGGCTGAACCAAACAACAGCAGGTCGCGGGATGTGAGGGCGTACCGATGACCGAGTTGGAGCACATTTTTGTTTACGGAGGAGAAGGACGTTTTCCACTCGTTCCAACCGGGGGTGTATGAAAACGTAGCGTGGGGAGTGCATGTATGTACAACTTGGGGCATGTTTTATTCCCACCTCTTCGTGAGCCGGGCTGAAAAGGCAGCAGGTTGCGGGACGAGGGAGTACCGATGCCCGGGTGGGAATACAGTTTTGTTTGCGGAGGAGAAGGGCGTTTTCCACTTATTCCAACCGGGGTGTATGAAGACGTAGCGTGGGGGGCGCATGTATGTGCAACATCGCCATGTTTTATCGCCATTTCTTCGTGAGCCCGGCTGAACAAAATAACAGCAGGTCGCGCGATGTGAGGGGGTATCGATGGCCGAGTGAGAGTACATTTATGTTTGCGGAGGAGAAGGACATTTTTCCATTCGTTCCAGAAGGATGTGTGTGCTATAGTGGCGTGGAGGGCGGGGGGGGGGCGGGGGCGTGTGTGTACAACCACGGCATGTTTTCTCGCCACTTCTTCGTGAGCCGGGCTGACCCAAATGACAGAAGGCTACGGACTGTACAAGGAGACTCAAGCGCGAGTAGGGGTACAATTTTGTTTGCCGAGGGAATGTTCGCCACTCGTGACAGGAGGATGTGTATGCTACAGTGGCGTGGAGGGCGGGAGGGCCGGGGGGGGTGTATGTGTATACCTTCGTCATGTTTTATCCCCACTTCGTGAGCCAGGTTGATTCAACTAGCAGCAGCTCGCCGGATGCGAGAGGACCAATGCACGAGTGGGAGCACGGACGAGATGGGTGTTTGCCACTCGTTCCAGGGAGATGTATGGTACAGTACACGTCGGATGATGGCGCGTGTTTGTAAAAACTCGGCATGTTTTTGTCTCCATTTTTTCGTGAGCCGGGCTGAAATGAACAAAAGCAACTCACGGGGTGTGAGGGAGTACCGATTTCCGAGTGGGAACGCAGTTTTGTTTATGAAGGAGAGCGACATTGTCCACTCGCTCCAGGAGGATGTGTACAAAGTAGCCAGGGGGGCGGGCGTATGTGTACAACTTCGTCATGGTTCATCCCCACTTTTTCGTGAGCCGGGCTGAACCAAGTAACAGCAGGTCGCGGGATGTGAGGGAGTACCTATGCCCGAGTTGGCGCCCATTTTTTATTTTACGAAGAAAGGACGTTTTCCACTCGCTCCAGGAGGATATGCACAAAAAAGCAGGAGTGGCCGGGGGAGGCGTGCGTTTCGTGTACAACCATGGCATGTTTATTTCTTCACTGCATTGTGAGCTGGGCTGAACCAAATAACAGCAGGTCGCGGGATGTGAGGAGGTACCGATGGTCGCGTGGGGGTAAAATCTTGTTTTCGGAGGAGCTGGGTGTTTTGCACTCGTTCCAGGGGGTTTCGTACAAAGTACGGAGAGGGCGGGGGGAGGGGAGGCGTGTTGTGTGCAACTTGGGGTATGTTTTATCCCCACTTTATCGTGAGCCGGGCTGAACCAGAAAACAGCAGGTCGCGCGATGTGAGGGGATAGCGATGGCCGAGTGGGAGTACAATTGATTTTTCGGAGGAGATGGATATGTGCCACTCGTTCCAACCGAGGCGTATGAAGTAAGTAGCGTTGGGGGGGTTGCACTACCAAGGCATGTTTTTTCTTCAAATTCTTTGTAAGTAGGCGGACTCATACCACACCGGACCGCTGAAGGTGGCATTGCGCGTGATTGAGTGTAGCATGGATATGAACAGACTGCCTGGTGGTCGTTGCAAGGTGTGTGCTTGGCGTAGCACCCGGAGGGTCGATCGAACATGCATACGGGCATCCGCGACAGCCTTCGTCTCGTTCTGTTTTCCCTGTTCTTCGTTGACTTTCTGTAAACAGAAGCGGCCAGCAGCGATGTTAGATGACGGAGTGGGATATCTCGTGCCAGATATGCCATGGATGACGGCATGCCGCCAGGTTGCTTTGGGGTTGCTCTCTGCGACGGCCGAGGGTGGTACCGGTGCCACGAGGTCAGAAGACGGCGGTGTGTAGGGTGCATCACTACTTTCTCGCCATACCTGGTGGAGCTGGTGAGGTAGACAAGTTTATTGTGGTATTTTGCGGAGCGGCAGAGTGAGTTTCTTCTTGTTCACGGTGGTCGGATGTCTACCGAGAGCATAGGGCACCGGTAGACGCCGTTGTTTATTTTGAGGAGCGGTCTAACGAGAGCGCGGGGTGTCGGTTGACGTTAGGGTTTCCCTGCCAGACCAAAGCTTTCAAGTAGGCCCGTCGTTGGTCGTAAGTCAAGGCTTGTAGGTATGTTTATCGTTATCGGTGTCGTCGCATTTGCTCGCAAGCTGGCTGATGGGTGTTGCCGTTGAGGTCGTGTTTGCCAGTATTTTCCTTGCTCGGGGTGCCATTTCGCTGGGGTGAAGGAGAGAGGCAAGGCGTCGTTGCTGGGACAGAGGCAGCGTTTTCCCCGCACGGCCGTTGGACGATCTCGGGCCGACGTTCGGGTTGAGGGTTTGTGAGGAAGGGGGGGCAAGGGGCTCGTTCAGCCGTGAGCAGCTTGGCGGCCATCGACGCATCCGGTGATGCAGCAGCACCTCCTCCATGTTCTAGAAAGCCCGACTCTCCCTTGAGTTCCTGTCGCGCAGCTCGTACGCATGTTTGTCCAGTACGGTGCTGTTGGCGACCGGGGACTCCAACGAGAGGCTGGCAAATATTGAACGGAAGACGCTTCTCGACCGCTGACGCCTGGGTTGCGTTGGAGTACGAGCCTCGAGCAAGCAGGACGCATCCCGTGGGGGTGGATTCATCCGCCGCGGGGTACGTACGCAAGCCTGACCGGTTCGAGCGGCGAGTATTGCCGGCTGCACCGGTCGTACTGTTGGACTGCGCTAGGTCGACCTGCAGAGGATGTCGCGGCTGGTAGATTTGAACCGAACAGGATATCGCGGTTGATAGATTTTCAGCTGAAGAACCGTAAAACCCTTTTTGCTGATTTCGGCGGTCTCTTCCCAAGACCCAATTGCAGCGAGGTGCTGATTTGCGATAAGGGACTCGACGAGATTTGGGTGATGATTCGAAAGGGGGCCGCTCCATTCTGGCGGCGCGGCTTGTTCCACGTGCCCTTCGCGTTAGGATAGGACGGCATCACGACGACCGTCTTCGTTTTCTCTTTGCAATTTAAACCCTAAACCCTGTGTTGGCGACTCTCTCAGAATGCTTTCAACGGGGTGGGTCTTGAAGCTAGGGTGGAGGGAGGGGCAGATGCAGGCGAGCTGTGAGACGAATAGGTTGGTTTTTGCTTCTGCTCTAACGCACGGTCTTTCCAACGTCGACGTATGGCACCTGAAAAGCTGCCGCCATTCTAAGCTTTTGCGTTTGACAAGTAATTGTCAAGTTCCGAGATTTAGTATCTGCGTAAGAGAACCTCCAGGGCGGGCTAGTGTTATGGGATTTGAATGTGTAGAGAAGTACAAACGGTAGTGCGGGCTAATGCCCAGAGAAAAGTGCGGGAGATGCAACTCCCCACGGAAGGACAAAACAGGGGACAGGGTCTAGTTAGCCCCTGCTTTAGCAGAAGATCCTGGCCCCATCCTAGTCAGTCCTCTACCTTCCCTTGGCAACAGCTACTGCTGTTCCACACGAGTTAATCACAAGTGAGTTCGTCTTGACGGGTCTCCCAGATTGCACCGCGCGTGCATATCCTTTACAAGTGTAGGCTAGAAGCTGACTAGCGGGTTTACCTACTACCCGAAACACCTTCGAGTCGAGAAGGTCGAATGCGCAGATATCTCACGTAGTAGCATCCTGACATTTTGATCGACACGTAGAAGAAAGCCAGGGCTGTCTGGCGGTGGCACCACAAGCGTATCTGTTTTCTGTTTGTGAGGGTTCAGGGAGCAGGAAAAGGCAGACGAACCCGAGTCTATTTATCGCATGTAAACGCGCTCAACAAAAGTGGGGGGGAAGAAATAATTGGGGCCCATAGCGTCTTGTGCTTGATAGTAGTTCCCGCCGAGGCTATCTTTTTCGACACTTCAAGGAAGCAGGACATTGCAGGGAGGTAAAACCTCGTTCTGGGGACGTTTGGGGCATACTAGATTCAATTGTTGTATGAATATAGAGGGTGGTGGTGATGTGGGGGTATGAGAAGATGCGGAGATGGGCGAGGGTAGGTGAGGGGGTGGGGGAATGAGGAAATGGGGATGGGTGTGCTGAAATCTAACGATGACTATTATCATCGTCGTAGTCCAAGACATGTGTGCAATACTTGGTTTTTGTTGGAATGCGTGCGTGCCGCGCATTTATTCAGACACGATTGTTGTCGATATTGCCCTTCATTGGGCAGGCATGTTGCTGCTACTGACGGTGGCGCAGCTCGTTTGAAAATGAAAACACGCCAGCCGCATGCTTCCCGCCCGTGGTCGTGGACAACATGCATTGTCCCTGTCCTTCTTCTTTTCTCTGTACTTTCCTCACTACGTGAAGTCTCCTCAGGACGATGCTACTTGTACAGATGGCGCCCGCACTTAAGAACCGCTTATATTGGCCAAAGCTCGATGCTTATTGGCTGCCTCAAAATGAGCACCTGTTCTTGTTTTCAGAGTGCTTATTTCGAGCAGGCATATCCGAATGATACCTGGGGTTCTTGTTTATATTTTTACGCCGAGGGCCCCATTCAGAGGGCGTTTTTTTTTTCTGGGTGAATTCAGCCTGACACTTGAGAGCAGCGTGTTCATATGCATAAAACAGAGTACAATAACAGAACCTCGCTCAACAGCGACCTCTGGAATCGAGTTAAATAGACGACGCGGTATCGCCTGAATTAATGTCGCATCTGCGCAAACACGTTGAACCATTTAGAGGTCCACAAGGGTCACGTTCGGCGTGATGATCCTCCCTCCTCTATCTACTCACGCCCGTCGTAGCTACATTGCGACCTTCAACCTACTCTTCGAATGCTGGACCTCATCCATCCCTGCTCTAAGGCGCGCCCCCCTCAAGCAAAGCCCACGACCCTACCACCGCACCCGCATCTCTACTGTGCTTGTCCAACGGCATCATGCGGCGCGTACTTTGATCTACTGTACATGTCGAAATGCACACGGTAGTCGCAAACAGTGGCGGGTACGCTCCTGAGACGGCCGAGTGAGCAGCTCGCCAAATCAGCCCATGCTCAGTTTTACGAGTACTCCATATACAGGAACGAACTGTCAAGAGCAGCGGGTTCGCTTGAATTCGAAAATCCGTGGGTGCGACGAAGGAAGAGGTGTCGGAAAGCTTTCGTCGCCCCCGCGTCGACTCGATGGACTCCCAGTCTGACTTCGTGGGCAGTTGCCAGCAATGGTATGTTTTTTTATGGCCTCCAAGTGTAGTTCAAGAATTACACCTCCTGTCTACTTTTGACAGATGGCCGAGCTCTTTCAATATTTCAAGGGGTATAGACATGACTCTCGTGCTTGGCACGCAGCGTGGCAGGCACCCCAAATGACACGCGACGAGGGGTATGCCTCGTACAACAAAGCTAGAAGCACCTACTCCCCCCCTCCCCACCCCCGCACCGACCAAGGTAAAACGTGAAAGCGGCTCCGAGTGCGAACACCGGGTTCATGTGGTTGCGGAACAAGGGGACGAGATTTTACGTTCCTGAGCCTCGAGAAAAGCGGAAGGAAGATACAGGANGACGAGGGGTATGCCTCGTACAACAAAGCTAGAAGCACCTACTCCCCCCCTCCCCACCCCCGCACCGACCAAGGTAAAACGTGAAAGCGGCTCCGAGTGCGAACACCGGGTTCATGTGGTTGCGGAACAAGGGGACGAGATTTTACGTTCCTGAGCCTCGAGAAAAGCGGAAGGAAGATACAGGAAGATGTTTGAGGCATGGAATACCAGCTAGGAGAGAAGACGGTAGCTGTACTGTTCCGGGGCATAGAACGTGGCGGGCGGCAGAGGCGGGGAGTGATATCGATAGGATAGATAGGCCAGGAAAAACATTTTTGAGACACCTTTTTTGGTAAAGTAAAGCAGGAGGGAACGATTGGCCATCGGTCTTTGGTCCTCCTGTGGGATGATACTCCGTCCTCTCGAGGACACGTGGTCAATGGTCTAACCACTATGTTATGCAAAACATATGAGTACGCTCCCCCTCCCCCCCCTCCGCACCAGCACTAGGTATGGATGGGGGGGCAATGAGCCGCGTGGTGGTGCGACTCAATACCTGGCAGTAGTCTTATCTGCGATGCTGATGGTGCACGAATCCCGACACACACCAGCGTGAATCGTGTGTGGTGTAGCTACGCGTGCACCACAGAGGGACAGCAGGCGTGCGACGGCAGCGACGATGATTGTTATGTATGTGCGGCCACTGTTCAAGATTTTGCACTTAACATGCGGTTGTTTCTTTCCGTTTTGATGCACATGCACTTAGGCCGGTGGAGCACGGTCATCTGCTCTCGGAGCACGACGAAACCGGTGTGGAGAAGAGCGCGCTATTTTTCTTCTTCCTCAGAAGCGAGCAGATCGTCAATCGGTGCCCTACAGACTAGATCTCGTTCTGGTCCCAAAGGTGTGCTAAATAGGCTTCGCGGAAACCAAGTTTTGGGCCCCTGTATCGCGCGGCGCAACTTTGGCTGATACATAAGAGCCTTTTTTTTTCCTCCTGGCCACGAAGGGAAAAAATGTCGCTCGCTTCGCTCGCTCCGCGGCTCATTATTATTTGAAACGGAGATCCCTCTCCTCANGCTATTTTTCTTCTTCCTCAGAAGCGAGCAGATCGTCAATCGGTGCCCTACAGACTAGATCTCGTTCTGGTCCCAAAGGTGTGCTAAATAGGCTTCGCGGAAACCAAGTTTTGGGCCCCTGTATCGCGCGGCGCAACTTTGGCTGATACATAAGAGCCTTTTTTTTTCCTCCTGGCCACGAAGGGAAAAAATGTCGCTCGCTTCGCTCGCTCCGCGGCTCATTATTATTTGAAACGGAGATCCCTCTCCTCATCGCTGATCTGAAACTGCCGGTGGGTGGGGTCACCGGACACCCCGTGAGTCACCCCTCACCACCTTTATGAGTTCTTATCTTCCAGCTGCCACTTATTGGGTGTCTGTTCTTGTCCGTAAGCGCTTTGGTACATACACCACCGGGTTCCTATTCTTAATACCACGTCGGAACTGAGCACGTGTTCTTATGTCCAAGTTCTTAAATGTTGATTTTTCGAGGCTGCATTTCTTACCTGCTAAGTTCTTAAGTGCGAGCGCCATCTGTACCTCATAGTAAGCAAATAGTCTAGTCCCCCAAGGCTTAACAACACCCGGCGTCCTCTTCCGGGGCCCGCCCCTCTCTTTTATTCCTCGGGAGTGATGCGTGAATATAGCTGGTGTTGGAACATCGAGAGACAGAGACAGAGACAGAGACAGAGACAGAGAGACAAACAGAGAGAGAGAGACAGTGAGAGAGACCGACAGACCGACAGATCGACGGACAGGCAACAGGCAGACAAGGCATCGACGACGACAGTGATTGTGTGCCAATTCTTCAGACCGACAGACGGGAAACAGGCAGACAGGCATCGACGACGACATTGATTGTTTGCTCATTCCGGATACTACAGCAGTAGTACCATTATTAGCTATATAATAGTGAGTCCTACAAGGAATGGAGCGCCGTCTTTACATCCTACCAACAAACAATAGTCAGAGTGAGTGTGGCATACAGAAACACCTACAACATTACAGATCTATGCATAGTCTACACTTGGAACAAAAAACATCCTATTTGCCTCTATACAAACCTCGCAGTCTTTAGACTGCTTCATTCACAGGCGCCCGCTGTTGTCACCACGTCCAACGTCGGGCGGGCTAACTGCTGTATTTCGTTACCCCCCGTCAAAATACACAACGCAAACTCCGCAGGTATCATGAAAGTACGTAGGACATATATATGTTGTAGGATCCACCGCTGAGTGTGTTTCCCATGATAGTTATTAACCGGGGTGCCTACTCCATCTACGGAGACTTGTACTTCTGTAGTAGACTACACTACTACACTACTACACTACTTGTGAATCATCGTGAGTTGGGTGGTGCTTTTTTGCAAGCGGGTGCTACTAAACACTAAACATGTTTCATTCCCCGCCCTACAAAGTGTTTTGGGGTGCAGATTGAATTGGTGGTGAATATTCAAAGCGACTGCCACCGACTTGACCCAATCATCCAACCCACTGCTGCTGCTTGCCTGTGCTGTTGCCGCTCTGCCGCTACTGTACATACATGTAGGTAACGGGCTTCTGACCGGTGAGAGAAGGTAGGGTTGAAGAAAACCGAAACGAAAGGGGTAGACACCCTCCCTTCTCTTGTTTGTGGCCCCCCCTTGGGAGCAAAAACGTGAGACACGCGGCTACGCCAGCGCCACTCCCCGTGGGCACAGAGTTGCAGGGATCATCATGGAACAGGCGGCCCCTGGGGCATCTGCTAGCCGCCGCGGTAGAGATACGCTAGTCCCGAGTGGTTTTGAGTGCGTGGCACATCCAGTCTTCTTCCGCAACGATGTGTCTGATGGGTCGTCTGATTACGCCGCTCCCCCAACGTCAAATACGGCTGCTAGATCGGCTATGAATTCGACCACAACGATTGACCCAACCGCGGCGGCCGCTTGGGATGTAGAAGCTCTTGAGGGCGGAGATGACTCAGGCAGGGACACAGATGCTCCGGGCAATGCAAGCATCATCAGTGGGCGTGGTGGAAGGGAGGTGCACTCTGTGTGTCCCATATGCCTTGGCAGGTTCGAAGAGCCGGTGACCCTCACCTCCTGCCTCCATACCTTCTGCCATACATGGTGAGTGAGGGAGAGCGAGAGAGAGAGAGAGAGAGAGATGGAAGTCAATCATGAACATGAACGTCATTGTTCGTTCAGTTTCGAAACTTTGAGAATGCTTGCTCTGTGGTGCTTTTTATTTATTTTGTTAGTATCACACAACAAATCCATCTCCATCCATAGAAATTAGTCTTAGATAGATTAGCAATGAATCCATAGCGTGAGCGAAAGGCTACCTGTGTGTCTACGGGTTCCCAGACAGCATACAACGATATCTCCCCTGTGGGTAACTTTTCTTTTGCGGCGTTATTCGGTGTGCAGCGGTACGCCCCTCGTTCAACCAATGCCACCGACCCTCACACCCCTTATACATGCCTCATCCCCCCCCCGCACTTTCCCGTTCCCCTGCGTCGGCCACCCTCTCGTCTTACATCCCGATTTTCCGAAGCATTTTGGGCTGGTACGAGCACACCGTTGCTGTTGCGCTCTCCCGGGGCAATTTGTCCGCGTTCCACCCCGAACGAGGGAACAGCAACACCTGGAGAGGCGGCAGCAGCAACGATATCAGCGGCAGCAGCGGGACGAGTACAGGCAACAGGGATGGTGGTCGCAAGAGACCGGCGCCGGTGCCGTACAGGTGCCCTCTCTGCCAGGTTCCGGGACCGTTCTTTCTCGCCGTCGAGCGACCGCGCTCCTCCTCCTTTAAGGGCAAGAGGGAGGCCAACCCCAAGAGCAGCAAACCGTCGAAGCTCAAGTTCAGGCTCCTCGGAGCGCCAACAGTGTTCGGGGGCGGCGGGCCGGTGAGCAGAGGGGTGGCGGTGGACGAGCACGCCGGCGGCGGTCGCGGGAAGGGGGGCGATGGCGGGACGGCTGGCTATCCCAGTCCCAGCATGGCTGACCTCAGGGCCGCCGTACAAACACAGCTTGCCCTTGCTGCTGCTGCTGCTGCTGCTGCTGCTTCCGCTGCTGCTGCCGCCGATCGACAGGCTGGGCCGCGGCCGGACGCCGAAGGAGGTTCAGAACCTTCATGCACGGGAACGAATGGAATGGGGGTTCCCGGTGGGGAAGGCATGGCACCGGAGACGGTCCCAGGCATGGGGATGACGCGGGGTGCGGCTGATGGTGATCGGAACTCATGCGGAACGCTTGTCGGTAGCGGTAGCAGCAGCAGCAGCAGCAGCAGGCACAACAACAACGGGCAGAGCGACAGGAGCGGGGACCGTGTGGATAGCTCTGGTGGCGCTGATGTTGGGGAGCCCTTGTTTGCTGCGGCAGAACCCGGTTGCGAAGAAGGCGGATCGCCGATGGTTCCATCGGAAGGAGGAGAGAGACCGTCACCCGTGCCCCGAAATCGAGGTCGAGATAGCGATTGGTGTCGGAGTCGAGGCCGCGGTAGCAAGGAGCGGGACCGGAGGACGGAGCAGCAGGGTGACCACGGATGCTCGGGTTTCCGAAACGCATCTTCCTCGGAGGTACGAGGAGAACCATGGCACGCCTCCTCCGGCAATCCTCCCCATAGCTGTAGCGGCGACGAGGAGCGAAAAAAGCGCAAACGGGCGCGGAAGGAGAAAGAAAAGAAACGAAGAGGTGCCATAGCCAGCTGCCGTCAAAGTAATAGTAAACCTTCTTTGCATAGCGGCGGAGCCGGCTTGAGTAGAGGGGGGGCGTCTTGTGGGCTTCCATGGGATCCGGGATCGATGGCTGCCGAGGACGGGCTGCAAGCTATCGAGATCCTGCTAGAGAAGGAAAAGGAGAGTCTGCGAAAAAAGATGGCGGGAGGAGATTGTCCCCCGTTGTGACGAGGAGGCTGGGGACTGAACGAACTTGCGTCATGCCCTGTACAGACTGAGCTTATTTGGCAAGGTTCCACAATGTGCTCATGGAAGGCGTTGGGAAAAGACGGGGCGGGGTGATAAAGTAGGCATCCTGTCAAGAGTAGCGGCAGAGTACGAAGAGCAACGCGGTGATGCTCTTGGCGTGGCGGGTTTGCTTGTGCTTGTGCTCCCGGTAGTAGCGCACGGCGAATCGGGGTTACAACGAATGCTACGATTGGGGGGGGGGGGGGGGGGGCACCACAGATTTCCTCCGTGAGCGCATTCGGCTAGACACTACACACTTCGAGTTTTCCTTTCTTTTGCCGCCTGTCGCGCCAAGCTTTTGCGTTTTGGATGCGTCAGAATTTCCTGGGCGCGCTACGTTCTCCCCCCGTAAATCATTGATCGGCAGCGCAGCTTGCCTCACCCAGGTATACATCATCTTGATGACTTCCGTTGTTCCTTTTTGTCGTGGTGGCACGAAAGATCGCACCGCGATCACGAGGCGATCTACGCATATATGTAGTTGCTTTCCACGCCTCCAGATACGTCGTTCCTCGCAACGAATGGATCTGTTGCAGTTGGTGTGTCTACCACGGTGTTCTTGATCGCGTGATCGTCTTATGCCAATGAGGACACATGCGTGGGAACAGCCCGAAAAAAATAGAAATAAATACCCCCACGCGCTTCGATCTGCACATTTTTTCGTATGCAGCTCGGTTTGTAAACTTCGCCAGCGGGGTCTACACGCCTGATCACGGTCCCGTGCCGGTGCGACAGTGAGTCAGCCCCCGCTGTTTTGACGTTCATTTGCTGGCTGTGAAGACATCTGTGCCGTACGGTGTTTGGCGGCCTTTCGATGGTCGATCTCAGCGTTCGCTATTCCGAGCTTTTGTTAGCCTTCCTACAATGCCACATTTCGAAAGTGAATAAAGACTTCGTGATGAAGAAACCGAAGCACTTTGGCACATCATGCCCGTACATGCACCGCTGCTGTGCATGTGCGTATCCAGTATGGGCTACCACGTAAAAAAAAATGTTTCGAAGCTTTCACGACGCTTTAGATAAAGGACAGCAGCGTCACTGGCGTGGAACAACGAACAGGTGTCTTCGTCTCATGACAGCAGGGCATGCAAGAGACCTAGAGTTTGTCGAGCCCTAAAGACAAGCCTAGAAATCTACGGCAGGTCTTTACATCAGACCCGACACAGCACGCCGCCAACAACGTCAAAGCACACAAGACGATGTGAAACCTACACCATCGGTAGCTCCTCAGCAGAAACAAAGCACAGCACACATTAAACTACAGGTCACACGACTCAAAACTAAAAAAAAAAAAAGAAGCGAGTTGATCCTGCTCCTTCTCCTGCAACGCTAGCTTGCTCGGACATCAAGCGCCAAGCACGCATGGAAGCAACTACAGCTCTTGCTTGACCGGAGAGTCGTCGTCATCGCCAAACAAGTCCTCGAGGCTAAACTCTTCCTCCACTGCCGTGGCATCCTTCTCGTCCCAAGGCTGGTCACATCGTACGGCGTCCAACGGCCCATCGTGCCGAAAACACCCAGCGGGAAGAACCGTAAAGCGGCGGGAAGCGGAAGAAGGGGCGGGGGGGTGTGATGAGTGGAGAAAGCCCAATCACGACAGTTCGGGCGGATACAGCAGCAGCACGGTGAACTAATTCTTGGTCGTGTGCGTAAGCAGTAAGAGAAAATCGTGTCCTGCGCTTCAGCTCAAGAAGGAGAGACACCCAACGCATGGGATCTTCCCCTCCTCTTAACAGCGCCGCCTCCTCGATATCTCGGGTGTGGGTCGATGCCCTCCGGGTGAGTTGACAGACGGAAGAACGACCTTAGATCGAGGGGAGGGACAACATAAAAATAACGAGAAGCTTGGCTCGATTGGGCTCCCGTGATTTGGGAGGTTCCGCAATCTCGTCAAGAAGCGGCGTCGCGCACGCAACACGCAAAGAAGCCCCCTTGCTAAGCCCATACAACGACCGCTCGTCAAACCGACCCATTGCTCGAGAGCTTGTTTTCGCACCTCAATCCACAGGCAGCCCCCCTGGCCCCCCGCACAAGAACAAACCTCTGTGGGACAACAAAGTGTGTCAGCATCTTGAGCCGCCCTCAATGACAAGTGCGGTTTGCGGGCTTCCTTCGCTCTACGTCTCTCCATCTCCCTCTTTCTCACCTCAACAGTCAAGATCTTTGGTAACTCCGCCAGCGGCTTGGTGCGCGTGGAGCCGGTGGTGAGGCCTCCGAGGAACTCGGACATGCCGTCTACGCTGAATGATCCCACGTGCACCGCAAACGCCTGCGCAGCGTAGCGTAGCGTAGCGGCGCGGCGCCGCAGGCAGCAACCACACAGCAGAAGCGCAGATGGCAAAGCGGGTGATCAGTACACCAGGCGGAGGAAGGGACAGGTTAGCTTTTTGGGGTCGGGAATGGGTCGGTACTCAGTACACGCGACGTGTTGTTAGCGCATGTACGGGGGTGAGAAACATCGGGGGAGGGGGGGGGTATAGCAGCAGCAACCTCCTCATAAGCTGCTCCTTTCCTGCGATACCTTTTCCCTTCGGCGTATCGTGTCCCCTGGGCGAAGTTTCCATGTCCGGTGACAGCGACGGTGCCACAAACGAAACGGTCTTTCTGTCGCACAAACGTTTGGCCATCACCGCCCACAATCCATGATCCATGGCCACCGTGATGACCGGGCTAGTTTTCCGACCGTATATTCGTTTGCACCCCGGCACTCATGAATAAGACACCCCACACGACGACAAAACAACAATAAAATGACATACCGAAACTCAAAGCAGTATCGGACACTACACTACCACAATCAGACGAAATCAACAACAACGGCTGTCTATCCCCCTTCTCCTTTGCAATGACGGCCCCCCTCTTCTTTAGTACGCGGCCACGGGAGGGGGGAGGGGGGGACGCAGCCTGTATTCATTGTACGCCCGGTGTCGACGAATCACGGCACCCCCAAAGCATGACTACTCTCTCATCGTGTGCGACACGAGTAAACGGGGCAAACGCGTATGTCAAAAAAAAAAAATGCGTGCGTGCCTTTTTCTCGACGCTGATGGCGACGACGGCCGGGTATCCGAAGGTAAGCCCCGTCGCCTCCTCCAGCGCAGGTTGGGCCCCGCCCTCGGTCCACATAAGGCTGAGGTACGGGTTCCTTGACTTCTTGGCCGCCCCCCTTACAGTCTCGATGTACCCTTCCCTGTTTTGTGAAAATAAAAAAATCTCGAATAAAATCATTCGACCCTGAACGTTTGTCGCACGGGGGGTGCGAGAACGTGCGGTACTGAATAAACAAACGGAGGGGAGTCTACGTGCACGAAGCATAACAAACAACAAAGTGGATATACACAAAAAGACACAAGGAGTCACCAAAAAATAAGTAACGAACGGGAGAGGGAGGTTTGGGGCAGGACGAGGCTCTCGTGCGTCATGTGCGTGAAAGGACGCGGCACGCTTCGCTCAAACGCCCTGTGTTGTTGTCGATGTTTTGTACATTGCATGCTACACGTGTTCGAAGGTGGTGTGCCCTGCGGCACCTCCATAGTGCCTCCGAAAAAGGACGACGAACCCGACAACGCCATCTGGCAAATCCGCGCCTGCCATCACTCTTGGGTGAACATCAGCGTATAGCTTTGACGGAAATTGCTTCTGTGCGCTATATAGACGCGGGACGTACGGCAGCGGTACGCAGCACTCCCCGACAATCGGACCAACCAACCTTCCAGCCTTGCCCGAGTCGAGGATGTGCGGCAGGGCAGCGATGACGCAAATCTTGGTCCCGCCGCACTTTTCGTCGATCACGCCCTTCCCCGTCAGCTGCGGCGTCTTCGGGACCCACCCGGACCGTTCCAGCATCTATTAACAGTACGTTGAAAACATCCATAAACACAAGGCAACAACGTCCCTTCCTCGGTTTCGCTGAAAAAGAGAGGACGGGGGAGCGCTCTCTGCTCTTGTCCCTGGCGGCTGGTTAGTTTACCCCCAAACGCGTACTGATACACACGTGACTTGAGAACACGTCTGAAACAGAAAAAATCATGTCAAGAACCTAAGCCGTTGAGAGCCCCAAGGCTTCACACAGCCGCGAAACCAACACCCTACGCCCCCAAGCCCCGAGACGCGCTCCCCCAATTGACCGCCTACGGGAGGGGATTTACTAGTAAAATTTACCATGACCTCTAGAGAGAGGAGGGCTTCGTATCCCGAGAACCCTAAACCTAAACCCCAACCCGTACCCCCTCCAAAACCAAGTTAATATCCTCTCCAAGGCTACTGATCCCACCCCAACACAGTCGCCATGCTCACCCCTGTCGCGTAGTCGACGATCCCCGCAGCCTCCCTGGGCCCGTTGTAGTCCTGGGCCTTCTTCTTCGGCCCGGCGGGGAACGCCTTGATGGTGGGGTAACCCTGAACGCCGTACTTCTGGGCAAGGTTTGTGGCCTGGGTGGCGTCTACGGCACCTAGCTGTGAAAAAAAAAAAACAGCACAGTCCGAGAACAAAAACAACATATATACGGGAAAACGAGGGAGAAGGGGGCGAGAAACGGAAGAGCGAGCGCAATAGCAGAAAGAAGAATTGTTAGAGGTATGTTTGCCTCCCTCCCAAACAATTTTCAGAGGCCAATGAACCCACCCTTCCCCGTGAGGCATTCGGCGCATGGATCACTACTCCTCCGTGGAGGAGGGTACTCATATTCGTGCATGCCATAGTCCTTTGACCATTGACCTCGCATCCCTTCAAAGCCGGGGAGGAGGACGGGGGGGGGGGGCG